TCACTACAAGCCCTTGTCCCAAGCCCCTCCCCAGCTTTCCTGGAGCCCCTTCAGCCACTGGAAGGTGCTCTAAGGTCTCCCTGGAGCCTTCTCTTCTCCAGGCTGAACACCCCAACTCTCCCAGCCTGTCTCCAGAGCAGAGCTGCTCCAGCCCTTCGATCATCTTTGTGACCATCTGTGTTCCACTAGGACTATTCACAGAACTATAGAATGGTTCAGGTTGGAAGGGATCTTAAAGACCATCAGGTTCCAACCCCCCTGCTATGAGCAGGAACACCTCCCACCAGACCAGGTTGTACAAAACCTCATCCAGCCTGGCCCTGAACACCTCCAGGGAAGGGGCATCAACAACCTCCCTGGGCTGCCTATTCCAGCACCTTCCTACCCTCATAGTGAAGAGTTTCTGCCTGATATCCAACCTAAATCTCCCCTCTGTCAGTTTAAAACCATCACCTCTTGTCCCATCATTGCCCTCTCTGGTGAAAAGCCCCTCCCCAGCTTTCCTGGAGCCCCTTCAGGCACTGGAAGGTGCTTTAAGGTCTCCCTGGAGCCTTCTCTTCTCCAGGCTGAACTGCCCATGAAAATCCAAATGCCTTCTGAGTCTGCTGGGCTTTGAACTTCCAGTCCTTGCTGCTTTCAGTCTCTCCTGTTGCTTTTCCTCAAAAGATGCTCCTGAGGCCTCTGAAAGGCCAAAAGGTGCTAATTTAGGAGGGAAAATGTGAGTTTTGTAAAAGGCTCTGGCATGAAACACAAAGCTCCAGGTTGAGGTTCAGCTGTGTGATGCTGACTTCCATATTCCATCTTGGGAGACTGTCAAGCCTGTGGCTGCCAGGCTCCTCTTGTGCCTCTGCTTCTGAAATCCAGCATTTGGAATATTGTTTTGATCAGAAGTGTAGCTTCCTCCTTGTGACCACCGAGTGGTGCTCTGCACTGCACCTTGCAGCAAGGAAAGCTGCTGGCATTTTGGGACAGGGGCTAAACAGCCGTTTTCAGGAGTGGGGATGATCTGGAGAGGAGGAGAAGGAGGAGGAGGAAATAATTTAAGAGCCTTTTCTTCTCCCCTGCCAGAGGCTGTGCTACAAGGGCTGCATTATTCACATCTTTCTGCTGTGCCTGTGTGGTGATTGATGCAGTTTGGTGGTGATCAGATGTGATAAGCAGTCTTGGCAGTTTCAATTTGGGTGTTCAGCTTGGCTGCCTGCTAGACTTTGGAGGTGCAGAGGTGGCTTATCTGCTGCTTCAAAACTGGATCCTGGCAGGTGTCTCTGATTTGGCTTGCTCAAATCACAAGAAGCTTCTGAAAACCTTGCCCCTAACTGATTTCCCAGAGATAAATATCTAACCCCTTTTTTCTTGGCTGCTTTTTCACCCAGTCCTTCTAGGACTGCTTCTCTTCTCGGGTGTGATAGCTCTTTAGTGTCTTGGCTATTCAAGTTTGGAAATTTTTATAGCTGTGTGGCTCTCAGCAGAGGCAAAAGAGCTACAATAATTTGTCTTTGCAGGTTTCCTGCAAGCACTCTCCTGGTGCTCTTCTAAGATTTCCAGGAGCTGTGTATTTTTTTTTGTATGAAAACATGCATTTTGATAGAGAAAATTCTTATGTTGATTTGAAATGATGGGCATATTATAAGGCAGAAACTGCCTATAAAATGTAATGGGCATTTAAGGGGCTAAGTACATCCCTGTAAGCTCCATTAGATTATACTTGTTTGCAGGAGTGATCATTCCCTTCCAGGTACTGAAAGCCATGCTCTAGCAGGATGATGCAGCTAAATTCCAACAGCAGCTCATTGATATGAATTGCAGGGCTGGAACTGAAAGGTGGCAACTGGGATTGTCTTGTCTGGTGAGCTGGAAAAAAACCATGCAGTGTTTTAAAGCAAATCCTTGAATTAGAAGGGGAGGAGATGCCATGTAGCAGCACAGTGAATGCTGTGGGTTTATAATGTGCACTGGTTTCTCTAGGTATTCCAGTCTGTGAGGCAGAGGACAAATCCCCCCAGTTAATTCAAGTCTGAGAGCCATCAATTAAATAGCTGCCCCAAAGCTTCTGAGTTGGTTTCATGGGTGTTTTGTGGAGCAGCTGTGCTGGAGTGCCATGGCATCCCACAGCAGAGGGGAGTAGAGGGAAGCATCACCTGCTTTCCTTCCAGCAGGCATGAGATGTGCAGCCCCTCAGGTGTCCTGCCTCAGCTGCTCCAGCTTATTGCAGTGTCTCTGACTTACAGCAGGTTCAACTCCAACAGAAATAAAGAGATGTCTAGAAAACAAATGGTAATTTGGCTGGATTGGTTTTTTTAACATGGTCTTAGACCCCCAGGTAAGCCAGCTGCTCTGAGTGATGGGCTCTCCCAGTCTCAGCACATCAAGGGGGAGTTTTTCTACAGGACTGAGCAGAGCTTGATGTAAATTAGATAAAGTGCATAAGTGTTGTGTGTTAGTTTTCAGCTTTGAAAAACCAGCCATTGGAAATTCAGAATGTGTCATTATGCCAGATACTATATTTTCATGGTGGGTAGCTCCATTAGCAGCTATTAAATAGCTTGGTTACAAATTCTGCCTCAGGAGGTTCTTGGGTCTTTGGTAACTAAAAGCTGGGAGGAGAGACTGTGGGAAGACTGGCCCTGTGTCAGCCCTGTGTGTCTGTCTTCAGCATCTGCTGCTGGTTGTGGTCAGAAAAAAGGATGTGGGCACAAAGGGCCTTTGGTCTGGCCCAGTGTGGTTGCTCTTGTGTTGCCATTTTAGATTCTAGCAATGGCAAATGGCTTAAAAATTGATCTTTCC